AAACTAATGTAGAGAACGTGCACTCATAGCAAACTAATGAATAAAAGTTGCTTCAAATGCTTTACAGTCATAGCGTAAGCAGAGTTGAAAGTGTCCTTTGGTTTGCAGCACAGAGAATTATTTTTAGCTCAAAACTTAAAAATACAATAAAGTAAATAATTTAATTGTAACACAACAAAGTATATTGTAATACAAATTAAGAATTAATAGAAATATTATTAAATGTAAAATCTATCTAAAAATAGTTGGAAAGATGAACAAAATTTACTAATATACACTATAATATATTTATAATTACACTTGCATATATTTACTAGATTATAATAAGGCATTAAAATTACAAATTTTTTAAAATTGAAAACAGTATTTAAATTTAATAAATCTTATCTTGATTTGAAATTGTAAATCATAATTACTATATTTTTAAATGGATTAATGGAGTAAAATGGATTCAGATAATTTAAGCATTAATATTCAAAAAATTATAAAACATTATTTTTTGTAAAAGAAAATTTTTTGAACGCATTATAAATTATTTTTTATACATTCCAGATTTATAACACTTAGCAAGGTGATCGGTTATGACATTAGCACGGAAACAGTCGGTTACTTTGACAATACCAGCAGGGTCAGACCTCGCATAATTTCTTAGTTCCTCTACCATTTGCTTAAGACATTCATCGCCATCATTCGCCAGTCTTTCCCTTATTGTCATTATATTAGCGAACTCTTTGGGATACATTTCCTGAACACATTTGCCAAAATTAATCAAATCCTGTTTAACTGGGTCATCTTTGCAAGTACCTATCAATTCAAAATAAAATAATTTTTAATTAAATTTCTAAATTTAAAATAAAATTCTAAAATCTCTACTAGTATAATAAAATTGTACAACTGAAAACTTATAAAAATATTATTTTAAATTTTACTTTATAATAATTATATTAAATTCATTTTGCATTTTGAATACATTTTACTAACAAATAATATTTTTAGACTATGGAATGTAAAACTTATGTTTGTTAATAAAAAGTTTATTAAAATTAATTAATAGTAATCGAATATAAATTTAACTTTTATAATAAATTTGAAATACAAACCGCATAATATCATCCTGGTATTTTTGCGCATTTCATCGGTGAAAATATCCTGAGCCGCCGAATAGGTCACAGACATAGCTAATAAAATAATGACCGAAAATTTGAGCATCGTTTATAGTAAGAGAATATAAATCTTATTTTGATAAAATTATTTGAATCTTGTTAGTTTTTCATGAATAATGTTATAATGAATGTCATTTTATATATAGTGTACATTGTTGTAAGGAATAATTATACGTCTGTGAACCGATTGTTTTTAATGATGCTTAAAGTATTAATTATATTTGTACCAGTATATATGTAAATTATATTTTTGTGTCTAATGAATTATTCAAATGCCCTATTGTTCCCTGATGTTATAACAAAGGTCATTTTATTTGTTTTCATCATTTATATTTTAACCGAAAACGAGCAAATGAATATATACATATTTTATATTAATATGTTTAATTCATTATAAATATTACATAAACCTAAATTATATATTAAGATTTCCATTTCTATAATAGGATAATTATATATCTAGATGTTGCGAAATATGTCCTATATAACTTAGCTTTCAGTACATTCCCTTGAAATGTTCCCGCTAATTGCAATTAAACCCGACTGAATTATACTCGTATGGTACTGTATAATAATAATATCCAGGTCGG